GGGGGGGGGGGGAGATATATAAACTTTGATATCAAAAATACGGAATTTTGTTTTGTTGCTGTTGTTGTTTTCCTTTTTTCAATTAGAGCTAAACTAAGAAAAGCGACATCTATAGAAACGTAAATCTTAAATATTTCAAATTGAGTACAAATATGCGATTCCGTTGGTTTTAGGAAAGTACTAAGAAAGGGAAAATGGAAGTAGGGAAAATTGTTTGGGGTGTGCGGACTGAATAGGTTTTCTTGGCGTGGTTACCACCATCCGCCAACCAAACTTTCCCAACAGTAAAACACCCAAACTGTGAGTCCGATCTTCAAACGTCTAAAGGATGAACCTACTTGGCGGAAGCTTTACTGGTTCGTTGACTCTCTTGTAAATCTTTCTTTTTCATTTTCATCACATTGTCGATAACTTCGACCACGTCCTGGGCGGTCTTAAAAAGAAAAATATAAAATCCTTACAAAGTACTTCACTTGAAATACTAATGATTTGTCCTTAGATATATTGGATAGTAGGACTTTTCAAGCGCCTTACTCATGGGGCTTCTGTGGCGCATCGGTTTCTCTCCCAGAGTTCCCCGCGGTGCGCTAACAGCAACTTATTTTCACTGAGTTTTTTTTTGACTCGCGCGACGGAATTTTCCGAAAAGAGAGACTACTCGTAGTCAAAGAACAACGCGAAAAATGTATGAATATCAATGTTAGAGTGAAATGGTGAAAAGATATACAGAGAAGGAATTCATCAGGTATAGTAGTACCGCCCCAGTGTGGACGTTGCCGACATTTTATCGGATGGAAGCGTCCTATATCGGACGGTTCTGTCTGACTTTGGAGAATATCTTCTGATCGTGTTTTTTACCTCATTTAGTGAATCATCCAGTAACACAATGCTATCTATGACGTCAGCGATGAGCACCGCGTCGGCTTCGTTCATGTCGTCTGGCTCTGACGTTAAAACTTTCACTTCTTTAGTTACCTTGGCAACGTTCTGTTTGTCGACTTTTGTCTGGGGATATCGGACAACATTAAGAATAGTTTATTCACAGACTTTCTTACTCTAAAACAATGGTGTTTTGACGATGGTGCACAATTCTTCAAATGACTGAAAGCAAAGATGTCTTTGTAAGAGAAGGAAAGGTTACCAATTTAATCGACGTGTTAATTTTTTTTGCGAGCAGCATGTTGGTAGGCGAGGGGGAGGGGGCGAATTTCTCTATCTGAACACTCTAGCACGGTCCACAGAACGAGTTTTAAAGATAGCATTCATTTTATTTCGAAGTTAGAATAACGCGACAGATGAATTAAGTAAGTGACCTACCTTTGCGATATCGTTAAGTTTATTTGTTCTGGCAGACTTATATTTGCAAAGGCTCACATCCGGGCTCTTCCACACACCACCAGTCAAAAAATTCCCGCCACATGAGCGCGTGGCATTGGCCTCGGGCGGACCATACGGGCATTTTACACGGGACGACGTTCCACCAATCACAGTTAACTGCCACTCAAATATCCCCCTAACTGATTTTTTGCCGGTTTCTTTCGGCAGGCAATGAGCTGTGAAATAAAGGAATTCACACTTTATTAGTATGGTATCATTGTTTCTAGAGATTTTCAGATTATGTTGTGGCCAGCGAATAGTGGATGTAACACCGAAAAAGTTTGCACACCGATTAATAGTAAACATCCAATAGAAACTGAAGGAAACGACTAAAATTATCCTGTCTTTTATAGCAGCAACAACTTGCCTTCTAAGATTCTTACAGTTTCAAGTAAAGGGTGGTAACGCTGGGTCAATCGCCTAATACTCACTTACACTCTTTTTAGCCACGCAATAGTTATTCGAACGTATTGGCAGTCTTTATTGTCACGCATTACTTACTTGCACTCCTTATGGTAACGCTGTTACGTGAGACCTTCAAGGGTTTCAGTATGTTACCCATAGCACTCTCATCAGTCAGCAACGACTGAAGTCTGTTGTAGTAAGGAGCGATATCTTCATTCTTGGCTGGGCTGTAAATCACCAGGTCCACCCCCACTTTCTTAAACGAGTCCCTGTACGTTGAAAGAGAACAGCCTGTCACTTTTGAAGAAGTGAAAGAAGTTGTTCTTATTACAGAATGGAGGGTCAAAATTGATAATTTTTTGAAGAGACAAACATCCGTAGAACAGAAATAAAACATAGAGAAAACAGTTGAGCTTGGGCGCGAGTGACCAGAGAAAATTTACAGGATATCAAACGTCCTAACCACTAGCAAAAGATTCAAAGCCTCGATGCAGCTTCCTTGAGATCTGATTGCAAATTCTCCCTTCCTACTGGTGGACATTTTCCATAGTGTCAGTTTTGGGGATTTGCCTATATCTCAGCTAGTCTAATGACAACACATAGTTATAGTTTAAATTATTTATTTCCTTATTGTTGTACTCATTATCATAATTTGTGACAAAGGAAATTTTAAATATATCTAAACCCAAGGAGAAATTTGAACAATGAAACATAAGTTAGTTCAAGTAAGAGGAAAAAAACAGCCTCACCTGAATTTCACAAGTTTGACTTTATATTTCCACGCAGGGTTTCCACTATCGAGGTAGTTGTCCAGCTAGAACAGAGAAAGAACGAGCCAAAATAAATAAATAAATAAATGACGTGTACAAAAGAGGAATGAAATAAGTAAGACCAGGCAAGGAAAACCTTTAATCTTTACTCTTTTAAAAATTTATATCTATCGCTATCCAATATATGTCCGATGTAGAAATATCCAAAACACGATTAAGATTAACTAATTAATTAAATAACTAAGCTGTTAAAATCAGAATAAAAACTAGGACTAATAAAACCTTTCAATAAAAACTTACTGACTAAAACCTTCAGTTAAGTCCTCGATATTTAAGTCCCTTCCTGTTTCCTGCCTTTGCGGTGAATTCTACATTGCGCCACAAGAACAAACAACGGCTGCAAACAAGACTAAATTCCTGCATCGTTTCTTTCTTTTTTCAAACCATCCCGATTTAAAATTAAGATGTCTTAGTCAGAAATATCTGAGACCAAGAAATTCCCCACATGGAGATTAAATCTCTTATTAAAGCCTGCCCTCAGATTTAAATAATCTAGAGCAAAGGTACTCTTCCGATTACGTTTTATCAACTTACGTTTCTTTCAATTGCAATCTGCATGTCTGAATAGCTCGAGCTTCTCGGATCCTGTAAGTCATTCTTGAAATTTTTATTCACGATTCGAAATGAAACTCTTGATGTAAAAGTATCTGGGAAAAAAAGTACAAATAAAAAAAAAAAAAAGAAAAGAAAAAAAGTTATCACCTTCCAGAAAAAAAAAAAAACCACGATAACACAAGCGTTACAGTTTATCATCACAGGCATCAGAAATGTCGTTACCATTAACATCATCGAAATTAAATAACTACTATTATTACATCGTACGCAGCATCTGTGGGCAAGATGAAGCGAATCTTTTGTTCTGATTGGCTACCCGAGCGGGCAAGATGGGCCCATCTTGCTCACTCGGGATTGCCCGCATTGATCGCGCGCATGACAAAAAAAAACAAAAAAAAACAAAACAAAAACAATAGAATTAGAACTAAGTTCGTAAATATTGGACAATTTCGGCGATCGAAACGCAAAAAGCGGCAGAAGATAGTCAAAACAAAGAAAACAGAAGCGACTCTCGTGTGGTTGTAATGCTACAAACACGGTTGGCTTTCTTTCCCGGCTCTCGAAGTAGACGAGTTATTCTTAATTCTTAATAGAGCGAAATCTTTTTGCTATAAAATGAATCCTATATTAACCAAGCTTGTTTGGTCAAGATAGCTGGATATTAGCCTCGTTCCTTTTTCGTATTTTTGTGGACCTCTGACTTCGTCCAGGTTCAGAAAAATTCGGAAAAAGAACTCGGCCAAAATCCAGCCATCTTGCCCTCACGCTTGGGTTATAACCCATTTAAATCATCACAACTTCGATACAACCAAGAAAATTGTGATGCTGAAGCGCTTCTTTTCCTTGTCGCTTGCTTCAGTTCTTCTGTCTGAGGCGTTTATTCTACGATGTTCTAAGAAGAGCTCTCCAGTTGGTTGGTTGATGTAAAACCCCGCCAAGGGCAGTTGCATTTTTCCACCTGGCGGCTCCACCCCTCTAGGTCTCAAAAACGTCTCTAAAAGTTCTCTATTATCTTTCTCATCGTCACCGACTCTACTGTCGCTGTAATCATCGTTAATTTTCGTTATCGTCGTTGCCGATGTCAGAAGTCGGTTTCTTCATCGTCATTGCTCGTTATCGTCGTCACTGTCGTCGTTATCGTTGTGGCTCCATGTCGTTATCATTGTCGCTCTCATCGACACCGTTCGATTTCCTTATCTTCGTCATAATTATCATAGTTATCGTAACATTTCGGTGTCACCGTCGTCATCGTCATCGTTTTTATCATCACCATCGGTCATCTTCGGTGTAATTGTAAATGTTCGTTACCGTCGTTTTGATGGTTGTAATCATCGTCTTTGTCTTTTCGTGAGCCTCGACGCTGACTACTACGTCATTACTGTCCTACAAGACGTCATCACAAAGGCAAGCTCTACTCCACTACCATTACCAAACTGAATGTTTAAGTGACGTAAATGTGAGAGGAAACTCACCTTCCATAGTAACCAAAGCCGGTGCAGTGGAACTGCTTGTCAAATACGTCGAGAAGCGGCAGAAATAGTCACCCTGATCGTCATTATCAAAACTGTCAATCTTTAGATGGCTACTCGATTGTCCAACTGGCATTCCGTTCTTAAACCACGTGACGCTCAAAGGCAAAGGACTGGAAGCGTTACACTTTAAAATGACTTCAGCGCCTCTCTTCACAGTCTGAGGGTTTGGGGACAAGCTAATAATTGGTGGACCTGTGAGCATAAAAGGAATATGAGCATAAAATGATAAACTAACAAAAAAGAGCGAGAGTAAGAATCAAATCCATACATAATATTACAATCCAATCACGTAACGAAAACACACGGTGGTATCTTATTCATACCGAAAAAGGCTTGACTTACCAATACACTGCGAGTATATCCTTGCCACATTTGCTAGATCATGAGGATCAGAAGAACATTCCATTTGTAATATCTCACTTGAGTTCAGCCGGTTTAGCAAGTCGAATAAAGGCAGTAAGCACTTTTCACTTGGGCAAGAATCCCGTCCCTTGGGTGAAGAAACATTCTTTGGACATTCCCTGGTGGCATCATCATAAAGAGCTCGAATTTCTTTACAATTATCGCGTGAAATGAATTTGATACTGGCAGTGTTTTCAGTTTTTCCCCACTGATCGCTGTCTGTGACGCGAATTTTTATTTCAAACTCGTCGCCATTTTCAAATTTAAACTCGTCCGTGACTTCTATTCCCCCAGTCAGACGGTGAACACAGAAATAACTCAATGGCCCAATGGTTCCGGCACCTTCACAAAAGTCGTCAATGTCACGCCGTTTCCGCTTTGACTCTCTGCGTGACAGCTGTTGTTGTGTGACATCCTCCATGTAAAACAACAACGGTTGAACCAAAGACTCCAAGCGCCCCGTGACAGTAACATTCGTGACAAGAGTTTCAGATTCGATGTCATAAGGTAGGTAAACGACTTGGTCACTAAGCTGTAATGGATTTGTGTCTGTTGAAGAGAAAATAACTTAATACAATATATGACGCTGACTTAAACAAAAACACAAAAAGGAAAGAACTAGAAAATGAGCCCTTAATATTGAACTTTTTTTGTTCAATATCATACCTGAGCAATTGGATTCACTTGTTATTCCTGTTTTTCCAAATGTCTGTTTCCTTCCTGGACACTTTTTGCATGACCTTTGACCTTGCTTGTTCTGATAAGTGTCAGACGGACAACGGACACATAAACTACCGGGAACGAATTTAAAACCAGGCAGGCATCCTATACAAAGAAAGAAAGAAAAATAAAAACAATACAAAACAAAAAATCTCGGCTTAGATTCGAAATAAGCCCACTCTATCACAAATTGATACCACGCGTTGACCGCTGTCATGAGCCGGAAGATTGAAGATATTAATTACGAAAAACTTAAAGAAAAAAAAACCCAATATGTACAGGTTTGTTTGATTTTTTCTAAAGCTGACGGTTGGAGGTCGTTTTCTCGAGTCTCGTCGTCGATTCCCCGGGAAGACCTCTTTGGTGAGAGGGGTAGGAGGGGGGAGGGGGGAAGGAGCGCAGGCTTATTTCTAGACAGCGGATGGTAAGAGGTTTGGTCAAAGAAATAAAGTAGTCAAACGTCTACGCATGTACGGCAATCGAAACTATCAGTGTCTTACAGGTGTGCCTGAAATGGTGCTTTAGGCTTTTCAAACTCACGAACCAGTAACTCACGACGTTTTATAAAGGGAAAGACGTTTTCGATAGGGCCTAAAACAAATGGTAAATCAATAGAATACCCGTACTCAAGTAAAATTTTATATTAAAGTTTTTCTTTTCCCTACGTCTATTTGCTTTTTCAGCTTTCTGTAAACATTTTAATTCATTTCTGTGAATTTTGCTTAGAAACGGTTTCTATGCAATTTCCTTTACAATTTTGCGCGGGAACTTGGCGCGCGGCCTACCAAAACTAATTCATTTGCGCATACCTCACGTTTGACCGCTGTGTCGGTTAGAGGTCGTTGACAACTTACCACATTTGGTGCTGTTAATCTGTATTGAGCCCACGCCACAGCAGGGCGGTGGTATATCCCCACCACAACATGATGTCTTATTTGATATCGTGGACAGATTGTATTTGGAGTGAGTCACACTTCCTTCCTTTATTTTTGGAGTATTTGCGTCTAAAAATTGCTTGTAGTTAGATAGAGTGTTGATACAGTTTGTAAGCTTTTGGGAAACTTCATCGTCTGGTACACTTGTAGATGCTGTAAATATCAGTGGTATTTTAAAATAAACACTTTCCACTCCAGGAGGAGAGTTCAGTATGTCCTTCCGAGAGACTTCTACACTTCTGCACGCGGAGAGAGATGACATAATCCCGGACACTCCGCTGAAAAGAAGTGAAAACGTACTCTTGGTGCTACTTATGGTGCCACTTGTAAGACCTCCCTGGATTTGATAGTAAAATATGACGTCGACCTCGTAACATCTTTTAACTTCATAGTTAGCAGTCAGTGAAGCATCTGAAACAACAAAAAACGTAGAATTTGGTTCAAAATGACCAACTGCAACATACAACAAATGCTCCCGTTCTTTCTTTGCCGACTGAGGGGGGGGAGATTTTTTCGGGGGGGGGGCGCATGGTGTTCAGAAAGAACGGAGGGGGAGGGGGAAAGTCGTTCCTAAAATAATTGAAAAAGGAGAAATTGTAGAAATTTGATTACTAATGAGGGGACGATTAGAATACTACAGAGCCTGATGAGGGAATGAGGAAAATTTCATTGAAGCGCAACCAAAGTCTTCTGTACTCCCCCCCCCCTCTCTCGGCGAAAAGTAATGACCGGTTCCTTAGGGAATTGTGCTGGATTGACCAGTTTCTTTAGCAGCTGTTTTTATTTCAAAGAGGGCGTGTTTCACGCAAGAATTCCATAGCTAGCCATCATAAAAAGTAGTACCTAGAAAAACCGGAAATTTTGTTTTTTAATTAACCTGAGCTTTTCTAATGTATGGAAGAGAGAAAATTCCAATAATATAGTTTCAAATAAAGTTGAAATTCTTCAGTTTGTTTCACATGAATAAAGGATAAATAGTTGAATAGACATAGACAGAATATAGTCAAAGAATCTTACACATCGCCTAAAAACATGATTGAATTACATTTAGTGCGTGAAAGAAATTGCATTAACTGTTCAGCTTTGATCCTTTAGTTTCTGACTGAGTGACCATTTTTCTTAACAGTGATACTGCTGGATCATTCATTAAGATCATTAGAATAAAATATTGAAAACAAAATTGATCACCAACCAATGGAGCTTTCATTTTTAAACGAATTCTTCTCGTTAGCACATCAGGAAATGTGTAGAGAAGAAGAGCGGTGAAGAATGTGGGTAAGGTTTAAAGTGCCTATGAAGTAAAACTTTTTTTTGCATAATTTTGTAGCTTATTATGTCCTTATTAAGGAACGACAAATGAAATTTCAAGAAAAGAAATTTAAATCGGCTTTTTGGTGGCTCGAAGTCCCTAAATTAGACGTTATCGGTGTCTCTGGAAACTGAGAACGAGTTTGGCTCTGATGACGCAGTTGGTGGTTCTGGCGCTTTGTTTAAGCTTTTGTTTGTCGTCTTCAGAACCACCAACTACGTCACTTCCTTTGTAAGATGAGATTTGACCGCGCGCAAAATGGACCCATTTCAGATTGCAAAATCCAAACTTTGAGGTTCAAAAAATAATACAAGAAAGTACTACTGGTCGGTCAAAATCGCATAGCTGTGTTCATCAAGACATAAGCAAACAAACAGGGCAAAAAATGTTTTACTTCATAGGCACTTTAAGGGTTAAATATGGCAGTATTCATCATTGCTATACATAGCTCGTTATCCTATCTCTTAAAACTACATTGATTATCACATCATTTGCATGGACGAGTTAAGTTATCAACTCACGCACGAGGACCTGATCGGAAACGAGTGAAATGAGGCCATCAATGGCATATTGTGAGCGTTCGTAGTGGACATTATTGGTCATCGAGTTCGAACGACTTGGAATTCACCTTGCTAAGGAAAATCTACAACACACCATTCTGGTATCTCACACAAGAAATATTACGAGCGTTAGCTACGAAGAAAACCTTCCCGTGAAAAGTGACACAAGTCGAACATTAGAAAATCTACAACACACCATTCTGGTATCTCACAAGAAATATTACGAGCGTTAGCTACGAAGAAAACCTTCCCGTGAAAAGTGACACAAGTCGAACATTAGAAAATCTACAACACACCATTCTGGTATCTCACAAGAAATATTACGAGCGTTAGCTACGAAGAAAACCTTCCCGTGAAAAGTGACACAAGTCGAACATTAGAAAATCTACAACACACCATTCTGGTATCTCACACAAAAAATATTACGAGCGTTAGCTACGAAGAAAACCTTCCCGTGAAAAGTGACGCAAGTCGAACATTAGAAAAGAACTACGAACCGACACTTGTAACATCACGAGTTTATCACTTACTAACAATTCCGTACACGTCTTGTGCCCAGCTCCCACCAATTCCGTTCACACATCGGGTCGAAGTTCCGTACTTTTTGTAGGTCACATGAGCCAGCGGTCCTGACCAGCACTCTCCACCATATTGCACTCCAAAAATTAAGTATCCAGCACTCTTTGCGGCCTGCGCGCACTTCTGAATTGCATTGCTCTGATCAGACCTCCAGTCACCAAGCATTTCTGGCATGGCTCGAGTACGATTGTCTTGAAAGCATCCAAGGCGGAAAAAGTTGACTGCCGGAAACAGACATAGCGATTTTCAAAGCATTCGCTCGACAACTGGCGATCTTCTAAATTTATAGGAATGCAATGCGTAAAGCAATCTATTTGCCTTAGCAGACAGACTGTGTTTTTCTTTCTTCAATTCTACTTGGGTTAATCTTGTATCAGCGGACTTTTTTTTTCTATTTTAAAAAGCGCTAAGAGGTAAGTTAATAACTGAGAACAAAGTGCTGCCTTTGTAATAATATCTGCAAATGGTTAGACTTTCTAGTCTTCTCGGATAGGGACGATAAATGGAGGTCCCGTCTCACAAGCCCTTGTATGTGTAAAAGAATTTGTGAGACGTTAAAGAACCCACACACTGTTCGAAAAGAGTAGGGCACCTAGTGCCCGGTGTTGTGGTCTATCTTTGTGTAGTGTCTATCAAATTGATGGGGGGTACTGCGCCTTTGAATGTTGTATAGAAAGGGCGCAATATAAATAAGGAATTCATTCTAGTTTTCTTTTCCATTTCGACGCAAAAAAAAAAAGAAAAACTAAGAGAGGCAGGAATTTGAGAAAGGAATTTGGCTTCACAAGTAAGGTAACAGGAAGTGTATTTTCTATGCTACCATTATAGCACTTACTCAAAGAAAAAGCGCTATAATCCTTGCCGGTGATCACGCTTAGGTATCTTGCTGATACAGATGTCCTTTCTTTCAGGTAAGCAGAGGCACCTGATAAAAACTTAAGAGCTGCTTTTACATCATACACATCATACAATACAACCATTTCAGCAATGTTTGCTTTAAAAACAGCTAATGGATTATGCGTCTCAATTTCAGCTGGCACTGCACGATTTATTCTCCGAGAATAACAACAAAAACACAGACAACACAAGCATTTAAAGCAGTTTGAGATCGGACATGCTTAAACCACTTTGATGTTTCGAATAATAAGTGTCAAAGATGTTTATATAAGGGGACTGAAATTCTGTTATGAACAACGTATTGGCTCCCATAGCTTCTAGGACACACCATAAACTAAAGCTTTAATAGCACGAAATCACGGTTGTGCGCGTGCGCGGCGTGATAACAAGAATTTGAGTCCAACTTTTCGTTTTAAGGTTGGGAGTGGGGTGGGTCAGGCTATTTTTTATATTTTTTTCAGTGGATGTTTGATGGCTTTGATTTCCATTCCTTCTTCATTCAAAGCTCCTCCATCTGTAAGATGGTTATATTCTCGTTCAGGGATTTTACTTCCATCCAACCTGCAAGGAACTGTATTTATGAGCCCTTTTCCCACTACCCCGCTTTCTGTTACCCAACAAACAACAAAAAAAAAAAATACTGAAACAGTAGCTGCAAAGATTGTTTCACTCTTAATTCAAGAAGTCCTTGTTTATGGTAGCTGTGGTAACAAAAACAGCACAGGAGCATTCAATATTACTTCGAGTTTTTCTGCTCAATATAAATGTTTACTTTTTGTTAGATAAGCAGTTGAGACGCCCTGAGAGGAAGGTGAGGATGCCCATGACGTCATCACTCTATTGAAGATGTGCCACAATGTCTACTCGGAAGTAAATTAATCAGAGCAATAAATTCATATTGCTCTCATTCCTTACATTAAAGTGAGAACTAAAATATTTTGTCAGCTACCGTGTACATGTTTCATAATTTGAAAAGCATTTTGGCCTACAAAAATGTTAAAAATGTTATAATGAATTAGATTACGACATTGCCAAACACTAATTTACAATGGTGCAATTTGTAATTTGGGACATTAATTTAAATGTGTTTTCGATATGCTCCATCTGCATGGTTTTTTTTTCAATTTATGTATTTATGAAAGTCAATTCTAGAATATTCATTGTTTTTGTCTTTTGTCTCTAAAGTTGAGAGTGACCGACCCGTCAATTCAGACAAGCGGCTCCATTGAATTCTAGGAAGTTTAAGATTTACCGCATTTGCGAAAAGTGAATCGTCACGTAGAGATTATACAAGTTTCGCTACTCCTACTGACAGATTTTGAGGAGTAACTATCAATCGATCGAACGAAATATTGCGTACCGTCACGTACGCTGATCGAACAACAAAGTTGAACAGCATAGTCACAAGCACGTGATACTAAAATTTCACAATATACTTACACTAGAGATATTTCGTCGATAACAGTATAGATTGCAATTTTTTCTGTGCAGAGGACTGTAACAACTAACTAACCCATCCGCCAATTACGACTGAAATTTCTGCCATAACTTTTTGGTCAAACATTTCATGATATTTGCATGAACACAAGTATTTGTTTACATCACGCGCATGTAATCATTCCTAAATTAAAGAAGCCCGAAGAGTTAACGGGAATCAGAGCGGCTCTTGAAGACAAAAACATGTAAAGAGAAGAATTCGTTCCCTGTATCATTAATGACTAATCTTATACAAGCCTTTTCATGTCAAGAACCAATACAGAGTATTGCAAACTACAGAAGTGAAAACAAACAGCGATAACGTTCGCGAATGCTATCGCTGCAACATGATGTATTTACGCGAACAAGTTCCGTTTTCCGATTTATGACTTCTGGAAACAACTACTGGAGAAATCTTTCGTAACATTTGAGCAATGTAGTCATTTCTTTCACGGTAAAACAAACTCTCCCCTGGCGGGGGGGGATACATTTGTCGAACAATATCAAATGCTCATGTTCGTACTAGTACATCAATAAATTTTACTAACCTGAGGTCGATCGAGTTTGAATGAAGAAGAGCGCTAACAAAGTTGAAGACAGCACAAATGTCCTTTTATCGTACATCCTCTGTTTCCTGGTTATGCGATTCGGTGAGCGGTAAAGAATATTCAAGTTTCGACCCTCCTCTCCTTGAAACGTTCTTAATATTGCGGTTTTTCCAGTCCACTTTTGGTCGAAAAGCTTGACTGAACACGCTTCAGACACTCTTCGTCGCGACTTAAAGATGTCTTCTTCTCTCTATGCAGATTATCTGTAGACAATTCTAGATCAAAAAAGCTACGTTAGTAATTGCAGGCGAACTTGAGACAAAAGCATACCTCTTGACCCGCCGAGACAAGACCAACTCGAAGCGATTCGATAAGGAATTTTCTGTTTTCATAACGCGAGGGATCTGGACACTAAGAATTGCATGACTAAGTTTTAGTTGCGTGCAGAAAGTTTGAAATCTTACAAGATCTAGAAAGTAAAGCCATCCTCTCACCTCATTGTCAAAATCGATAGTTTAAACATTTTACAGTAATCAATAATCTCTTCAGAATAACAGCGTCATCGAAAAGGAAACTTCTAGACCACTTTCAGCACTAATCGCATCTTTAAAAAAAGTAGCATTTTGTTCTGCACAGGGGAACTTACGTCAGTGTGGTAAACATAGGAATGTTTACGAAGGTTTCGACGCACATGTTTTCTTTCTATAAGAGGCAAATATTCAAAAAATAGATCTATTAAAACCCCCCTAATAAAGAAGCCTGTCAAATTCCAGAAATTCTCGCTTAAACGAAAAAAAACAAAATTAAAGTTGAGTGATGTTTCAGGGTTTCATGCTTCAGAAGAAATTGGCGTTAGGAAAAGGCTAGAAGCTCTCGTAAAAATCGGTTTATCACAACTACTTGGTATGTTTGACTAATCACTTCAAAATATTGTAAAAGATTTGGGGGATTAACTCCAAAAAGCGAACGAAAATGTCTTTTTTGGGAACTTTTAAACCGGAAACGGAAATTAAAACCATATTTGGCAACAACCAACAGTTTGTCATGTAAGTTATTTCAAAGGCCCTTGTAGAGGGAATCTAAATCCACATTATATTAGGTGTGTTTTCTCTACTTTTTTAAGGCTATTTAAATAGAATTTAAATTTGAATCTCGGAGATTAAGTTTTAACTTTTTTTAACAGTTTTATATCAGTCATAAATATATGGCGTCATGCGTGACATCTCGTCGAAGTTTTGTTTTGATCACACCCAACAACGAAGTGGGGCAGATACGCGATATTGCCCTTGTTGTAGATGATAACATGTAGTTTATTGTTTTGGGATCAGATTATTATTTATATGCTTTATCTTTACTCTATCAAGAAAGAAAACGATAAGAGCGAATTGAGAGGGAAAAAATGATCACAGGACGGTCGATGAAATGAAAGTTTGCTTGCTTCTACGAATGACATCAGTCAAGCCGTTTAGAGAGACTAGGAACTTTCGAGATTGATAATAATTTTGGTTTTGATTGTATAATTTTGGTTGTTGTATAATTTTGGTTAGACTGTAAACAAAATTGGTTTCGGTCGTTCACACATAAGTCGACGATGAGAACTTCGAAAATATTTTTCTTGGAGCGATTAATTTGCGAAGAATCAAGACTGAATACTTTAGGCATCCATTAGTCAAAAAGTACAGATCTTAATTGCAACTAAATATGGAAGGAAATACGAAAACTGTCAGAATGAACAAAACATTTCAGAATTCTTATGAACGAGTTTTTTTTTTGTTTTTTTTTATCTCCGAACGAACCGAGAACTCTTGAACAGAACACAAGGAAAATACCGCAAAGAAAATTAAAGCAATTCATCAATTCACCAAAGTTAACCCGCGCTCGGGAAAACTTATTACCTTTTCAGTAAAACTCATTATAAAAGCTGTGAACCACCGTTACCTCAATTAAAATTTCTGGTCTTGGACAACATACCTTTTATTATCCAGCGATGGTAACTTCCTCAAGCTGCTGTGATATCTGAAACCTTTGAGAAACCTTGACTCTTTAACTGAAAAGTGAAACCAAATAATTTATATAGATATGGGTAAACCTGGCAGCTGCTTCGAACAAAGTGCACGTGAAACACATGTGCGAACTGTCAGACCATTTAAGGACTGACCGACAAACGTCATAATGTATATTTAGAGGCAAGCGACAAAAAAGTTTGCCGAGAAAATTTCTTTCTATGAAAAACCATCGGGCAAATGTCCAGCTTGAAAATAAAGCCACGAGTTCTGAGCAAACAGAATAATCAATCGTTTTAATTGTGAAAACACGAGCAAAAGTAATTACTAGCGTTTAGTTTTTCCAATGGCAAGTTTTAAGTTGTTGAAATGTCAATACCATTCTCTTCCACCATCAGTTGACGTATTTCCGCGTCAAATTTGTCAGCGGTTATTCTCATCCGGATTTTCCTTCTCAGACAGCAGTTAAGCAAGTAAGAAGCAGTACGGTTTTGGTTTTCAAAATCTTCGGTTATCATGCATTTATTTCATCTGTATCTTTAACATTTGGTTTCGGGCTATATGAATGAAACGGAGAGTTTTTGGTTACCGTGTTTTTAAGTTTCGTTTTGTTCGTTTGGTTTTTTTTTTATCTGATTGACGTTCGCTTTTTATGAATTAATAATGCAAGTTATGATATCTCTGTCATCGATTCTTATTGGCATGATTTTCTTTCCTCAATTTTTTCGATTTTAGCCAGATTTTCCTGAAGCCTCATTTGACCGAGGATGGAAAGTTCCAGAGTAAGATGATTCAATTTCCCTCGCTCATTGCAAGTGACCCGGGTTGGAACATGAAATAATCATATTCGAGACAGGTGGTAACTTTTGCAAAGCTAGGAAATAAACAGATATCATTTATCTTTTATCGTCATTGATAATAAATATAGCGTCAAAGCTTTGAAATTTTGCCAGTATCTTAAACTGCTGGGATATCTCCCAACCGTTTTACGCCATCAGTCAAGTTAGCGTGAAACAACGTCGTATATTACTAGCTTTACATCCTCCTTCAATGATTCCTGAAAAATGTCATGAATTAAAAGCACTTTGGCTGGGTCTTATAAAACATCAGGAGCGCGAGAACTTACTCTACTTACCAGAAAGTATTTTCCCATCGGAATTCGACGCGTGCTCCATACCTTCAGCTTATTAACGAACCGGACTGAAAGTTGGAAAGGTCCACCTGCTATTTGCATGAAAAATTAATTTCTTTTGCGATTTTCTTTGTCCTGTCCAACCCCCAGATACAATATTTGAGCCGGGCTCAGTCATAATTACCTTATTTTTACCTATTTTTGCGGAATTTAATTTTTGCGATTGTCAAAAAATTGCGAAATTAAAGACCCGACTAAAAAAGTTTTCGCGAAAATTAACCACGCGAAATGTAATACCCCGCTATTGAATTCTTCAATGCTAACTACATAGTCATCTTATCCGTGTTCTCTATTCAAGTTTCGTCATGCAAGCTCTCTTCTTCTGAATCAATATCATTTTCTTGCTGCAGTTCTTGTGAGATAACCTCGATGCAGTCGTCAAATAATCCAACGGCAAATCTGGTTCCTTGTAATGGAACATGTGAAACTGTCTTCAGTTTCGTTTTGTCGACATGGTTTTGTTCGATAAGTGTCATTGTAAACTATTGTTATGGAAAATTAAAATTCGTTGTGCAAATTTTGAGACAGACTGTTTCTTATTGCAGATCAGTATTTTTACAATTTTCGCGAAATTTAGTTCCTTTGAACATCCATTTGGCAGAATTGCTAAATTAAAGCTAGTCTCGCGAAGCACGCCTTCTTCGCACAGTAAGGTACCAGGTATACATGCGTGTTTACGAGGAGGAAACAGGAATTGAAACCGTAGGTGTCTCTTACACTTGGCCCTGACGATCATTTGGGGGGCATTCGTCGTTTGATCTGATTATCTAAGATTACGGCGATTTCCCTTTTCTCCGAGATTTGAAAAATTTCAAACAAAACAAAAATAAATCAACAATAATTGATAACGAAAACAACAAAAAAACTATAGAAATGGCCGGTCTGGAGTATTTTTGCAAGATTTCGGACGGTAGAGATAGGCTCTCTAATGGATATTTGAGGAAGGCTACGGAAACCTCCACGAGAATATGAATGGCGAAAACTAATTGACTGCATGAAGTAAAACAAAGATCTTCGATGGCATTTCCGTCAAAGGAATGGGTTTAACAGCTTACATTGATGTAAGCTCCCTGTCTGGTCTGAAGTTGTCGCACACAAAGTGCAAAGTGAATAACAAGAGAAGGTGTGGAGGGGAAGTGAGAGTCATTGTTGCAAAATTCGCCCTTTGAGCTGAACAACCGGATCGTCCCCTTTATTTTCAGTAAATTAGAAGTAGCCGCACTGAGAACAAAGGTGCACCAACTGTAGGATAACTGGAGTAGTTTGTTATTTGTCTTTTGCCAGAGACCTAACTCTCAGTACGACGTAATGTCCGATTTACCACGAAAACACCAACTGTGTTCCCAGCGCCGTCTCTTCAGGGAATCGGAAACCCACCACTTTGTCGAGAGCAATGTCACGTTTTCATATGAAATCTTTTATTTAAGTTTATCAATCTCTTAATTTGCGACTATATTAAAACTTAAGTAATCACAACAGCCTGTCAAAAGAGGGGAATAGAAAGCTAATAGAGTATGTAAGGCAAAAACTATCTAAAGCGCGGGAAAACACGTGTGACAAAGTCGTGACTTGTTTTAGTTTTTGCATTTGATTGGTTAAGAGAATGGCGTGAGTTTTCTGGACCAATCACAGAGCAAAGTAAAGCACAGCCAATGCAATGTCGGATTACTATCGACCTTAAATTGAGAATTGCGCACGCTCTAATTGTTTTGATTTTTTTTTTTTTTTTTGCTTGTTTGGTGTCTTTCTTTTTATTACTCTCCAATAAATCGAAAATTATCTGAACAGCCCGAAAACGACTAAAAATACTGTGATGAATCACAAGAAATGATTTAGGTGTTACTTTCATACAAATCGAGATGAATTTGACTA